ATATAAATAATCTCGAGCTGCTGGTAACTACAAACCTATTTCCCACCTTTTGGAGAGATCCTGTCTAAAAATAAAAGAAGCAAAGCTGAATGATAGAATATACTCATTTGGAGTCAGTTTTTCCCTTGGCCTTATGGTTACATGAGCCAACATACTTCCTTTTTGCCTAAGCTAATTTCTTCTGAGTTTCAATTGCAAGCAAAAATTTTGACATATACGATATGATATATATATATATATATATATACATACATACATACATACACCATGTCCCGGGGCTGAGGGTTAGGGGAATTGGGGAGACATTTAAGGGTGCAAATTTGCAACTAGTACATAATAAGTCCTGGAGATCTAAAGCACAACATAGTGATTATAGACAACAATACTTTATTATAAACTTCAAAGTCGCTAAGAGACTAGATTTTAATTGTTCCCATCACAAAAAGAAAAATAATATGTATGTAATGTGATAGAGGTGTTGGCTAATACTATAGGTGGTAATTATACTGCAATATATAATGTATCAAATTAATACTTTGTACACTATAAATTTATACAATGTTATATGTCAATTATATCAATAAAATAAATATAAGATAATAATAATAACAAATAATAAAATGAAATAAAATAAATTTCCCCAGAAAAAATGGCCTCCATTACATCAAATCAGAACCTTAACCCTTGCCTTATTTAAGGTAGGATTTCTAGTTCCAATTTAAGAATTTGTTGTCATCTGAAGCATACTTCTATCTACAGTCTAAGTTTACTTTTGGCAGCATCATTGTTCTCAAGTGCCATAAAAGATAAACAGAATATTTACTTTCTGTGCATCTGTAATGAAGAAAGAACAACTAGAGCATGTGGAAGAGAGGAAGAAAATCAATGATGAAAACCATGTCAGAAGCGGTTACTGGTAAACATCAGATTTCTTATGTCTTGATACCACAGCTCATATTTTCAAACAGAAGATAATTACTTTTCACAAAGTTACCTGAAATAATCTAAGCTGTATCATAAACCTTCACGAATTCAGATTAATCATGCATATGACTGGTTTAATTAAACCAGGTAAAAATCAGAAAAGTAAATGTATAATATATTTAAATTTGAAATAAATTCAAAATATAAAATGTCAGTTTTCTTAAGCATGCTTGATTATAAATTCAGTTTGTTTCCAACAACGCTCAATTGGAAAATAAATTCCAGGTGAAGGAAATTACATCGTGGGAAAATTGCTTAAAGAAATTTAGAACCAAGTTAGACCTCTAGTAGATCATTTTCTTGAACAGTTTAGTCCCTTGTAGCCTAATTATCGCTGTCTCTAAATATTATGATTTTTGTTTTTATCAAGGACCATTAAAATATACAAATGTATAACCTTCCTTTAAATTCAATGTAAAAATATTATTGAGGCCATTGCCCATTCCATTAGTCAACATCAATAGTCTTTTTGCTGTTGTTTTTTAGTCTTAGTATCACAAAATGTTGCCCAATTTATTGCACAGAGAGGCACTTAGTAAATGTTTGTACTTATGAAGACAATATGAAATTACACTTATGAATTATAAACTAATTTTCATAAAATATATATGCTCTGAAATATTTGAAAACAATATATTCTCTCATATAAAATAAGTATACATATTACAATCTTGCTTATACTGCTAATTTGCTTAGTATTATACAAAGTTAAATGCTGACAACCCTCAAATGGATTACAAAAATTTCTAAATTTACATGTTGCTGGTTTATGTTGTATTGCATATGCACCAACAAATTAATGGGCAGATTCTCTCCTTTGAGCTATAAAAGTTATAAATTAAAACAAGAACTGGTTATTTTTTATGATTTGTGGTATAAAAATATAAGTTAATTCACTTATAAAAACAAATTAAAACTATTGAGAAAAGATAAAACTAGAATGGATTGTGTAGCAACATATAAAAATTTCGCATAATTTTATTCTAAAACATACATTTACCCAAGTCAAATATATACTTCAAAGTATGGAATAATTCTGAATGATATCCACCAATGTCTTCTGGAGCATCCAATTAAGATTATTTATTCATTCCTTACTTCTCATTCCTACAGAAAAATCAAGTGTCAAATATTCATCTTCACTCTGGAACCAGATGTCCTAAAGGACAGCTCCAGACCTCAGGCAGTGATCCCTTTAAGCAGGGAGTTAACACTAATTACTACTGAAATCAGAAAATTTCTGTATCTCTTAACATAGTTATTAACATTGCTAATAAAAATTAACATTGACTAAACTGTCATTGAGTACCAAGGCATATGACAAATGGTTTGCAAGCATTATATCACCAAATCCTCCTGATAGTTTTATGAGATCAGTACTCATTTCCATTCTAAGTGAAGCTGCAGATCATACAGATTTGAGTGTACCTAAGGTCACAAAATTAAGAATTGGCAAAATAATATCCAAAATCAGAATTTTTGGCTCCAAAATCCACGGTCTTTGTGCTACACTGAATCAGTATTATAAGAAATTATTTCCCCAACTTTTCAGAAAGACAGTGCAAAAGCAGAACAAGTAAAAAAAAAAAGTTTAATTCTTCTAAATAACAGCTAAGTAAAACAAGAACTGGCTAAAATATATTTCATTTTTATCTTGGAGTTTAGATCATGTTTGAGGATTTAGGTAAAAAAAGAATTTGGATAAGCTAAAAAATATTAATTATGAGAAAAAAATATTTAAAGATTTAATAAAAATTTAATCTTCACAGTTCATTCTTGTAGCAATTTCTGTTGCCTGGTTACCATGAGGCAGAGAAAAACAACTACCTAAGAATTATCACAATTGAACTTAAAATAATGAATATTTCTTATCTCCCTGTTCTAGTCTTACATACTTAATTACAAAATAGAACAAAAAAGTTATATGCTTAGTAATAGCTGTTTAAGATATAAACTAATGCTTTCTTCATTTTTTTGTTGAGTCTTCTAACCTCCTGGGTATAAGGCTGACGAATATATTTTTAGTTTCAGTGAGAAAAATACCTTATAGCATCTGGCCAGTGAGTCATTCAAAGTGTTCTGTTGCTGACAGCAAAGTCTTGTTTTTGAAAAGCACTATGGAGATAAGAAATGAATAACATACAGTCAAGATAAGGAATTTGTGAAATGAACATCTGTCATTTTTGCTATTTAAAGGTCCTCACACCTATTTTCCTAGTAATAAAATCCTTCTTACCTGGGGGAACACATTCCTTGTAGTTTAAGCAGAGCTGAACTTATCACATCCCAGACCACAGAGGTTGGTACAGGACCTCCAATTGAACAAAGTTCTGCATCTCTTTGGCCACAGAAGTTGGGCACATTATCCAAGAAGTCTAATCATACTTTTCAGTGTAGTTTACTATATATACAATGTACAAAAATTTTCTGATTTCAGTAGTAATTAGTGTTAACTCCCTGCTTAAAGGGATCACTGTTTCCCTTCTGGATTTTGATCTGTAAGGATATAGACTTGTGGTTACCAGCAGCTCTATTTCCCACCTTTTGGGGAGGTCTTGTCTAAAAATAAAATCAATAAACAGAAGAAGCACAGCTGAGTGATAGAATAGCGTCATTTGGAGCCAGTTTTTCCCTTGGCCTTTATGGTTACATGAAACAACATACTTCCTTTTTTGCCTAAGCTAATTTTATCTGAGTTTTAATTGAAAGCAAAAAAAATTTGACAGATACAATTCTCTTGACCATGCTGTTGCTTAATTCCCTCTTGAATATACTTATATTTAGGAACCTGGGATTTGAAGAAGAGCTCTTTAAGATAACTACCAGCTGTATAAAGCTGTTATTTCCTTTCATTTGTCTTTAAAGTATCCCAGTGTGGAGCGGTGGTAGTGAATTGGAATTCTGCGGGTTGACACAATCAAGGCTGTATCTATACATTACAGTAACCCACAGTTGAGGAGAATGATTATGAAAAGAAAATCTCGTCCAAAAAATATCTTACTTCAATAGTATGAGGCCTTAAATTCTATCATTGGTGATTTATTTCCTTATGTTAAGCAATACCATTTACCTGCAATCCTCTTTTGAGAAACAGATGACACAGGCACATATATCCTAGTGTGAATTACTCAGACAATTTTTCTCCATAACAGAAAAATATAGGTCTCAAAATTTTTCAGAAAGAAGGCAAAAAGTGAAAGGATCAAGAGGATGAGATAAGCCACAAACAGAGAAAATATTTGCAAAAGGTATATCTCATAGAGGACTGGTATTTATAATATACAAAGAACTCTTAAAACTTAGCAATAAAAAAGCAAACAACCTGATTAAGATATGGGCAAAAAAAAGTTGTAACAGATACCTCACCAAAGAAAATATACAGATGTCAAATAAACATATCAAAAGATAATCAATATTATATATCATTAGAGAATTGCAAATTAAAATGAGATACTACCATACATCTATTAGAATGGCCAAAATCCAAAACAATGACAACACCAAATTCTAGCATGTATGTGGAACAACAGGAACTCTCATTCACTGCTATTGAGAATGCAGAATGGTAGAGTCACTTCGAAAGATAGTTTGGCAATTACTTACAAAATTTTGCATACTCTTACTATATAATCCAATAATTGAACTACTTGATATTCATCCAAATGAGTTGAAAACATATGTCCACACAAAAATCTGCCCATCAATGTTTATAGCAGCCTTATTCATAATTGCCAAAACTTGGAATCAACCAAGATGTCTTTTAATAGGTGAATAGAGAAATGAACTGTAGTACATTTATGCAATAGAATATTATCCAGTGTTAAAAAAAAGCAGCTGAGCTATCAAGCCATGAAAGGACATGGAGGAACTATAAATGCATACTATTAACTGACAGAAGCCAACGTAAAGAGGCTACATAATGTATAATTCCAACTATATGACATACCTAAAAAGGCGAAACTATGGAGACAGTAGAAAAGATCACTAGTTGACAAGGTTTTGGGGGAGCAGTGGATAAATAGGTGGAGCGTAGAGGATATTTAGGGCAATGAGACTCTCCTGCAAAGTATTACAATGGTGGATACATGTCATTATACACTTGTCAAAACTCATAGAATGTACAGCACAAAGAGTGAACTCTAATGTTAACTATGGACTTTGGGTGATAAAAATATGTCACTGTTGGTTCATCTATTATAACAAATGTGCCCCACTGGTACACCAGTGTGGGATGCTGATAGTGGAGGAGTCTGTGCGTGTATAGAGAGGCAATATATGGGAACTCTGTACTTTCTGTTCAATTTTGCTGTGAAACTAAAACTGCTTTAAAATAGTTTATTATTTTTTCAGTAAAAGAAAATTAAAAGCAATAAAACAGATGATGACCAAGAATTGATTGGCACACATCACAATTTCTCCTTCCCAATCACTTTTCAATGGGAAGAAAGCTGGGTTTAGGGCCTTATCTTCACATAACAAATATTTATTAAAAACTTACCATGTGATACGTGTTTTGGAAATAAAATAGAAATAGTCATTTCCTGCATGCAGCTTACAGTCTAATAATAGAAAAAAGAGTAAGAAAAATAAATAAATATACAACTACAGATAAGTTCTATAAACGAAACATAGAGGGACCCAAGAGAAAATGACAGTGGGGACAATTTTATCAAGAAAGGGGAGAAGGCCAGCAGATGTAGAGATGTGGGGCCAAAGGAGCATGTTTATAACATGAGAGAACTAGATAATATTTGAATATTGGCGAGACCAGTGCGTTAGAGAAAAAGAAGTCTAAATGCAGGAGAGAAAGTGGTAGTAAATTACAAAGCAAGGACCCCAAGATGGTATGAAGGGATGGAATCCAAAAATGTATGTAGAAGATTTCCTCTTTGATAGAAGAAAAATTCCTCTATTATAGCAAGAGGAGTATAAAGAGAAGACTATTTCCAGATATCCTAGTGGGAAGGTATAGGCCTTCCTGTTAGGTAAACAGAAATGTTCTTTGGGGGATGAGAGTGATGAGTGGAAGAGGTAGAAAGAGCTAAAAAAATTTTTTATGAACTCTAATAAAATCAGGCACCATCTATTTTTGGTTAGCAAAGAAAATCGCTCTTACTGTGGAGGCCCTTGCTATGTTAACCAGGTCAAGAGCACAATTATGTAAGAGTTTATGGTTTATAGAGATCAAGAATAAAGCCATGCTAACAAGAGGAATACCTCTCTTCATATTAGACTGTATTTTATCTAAGTTACTTAAAAGCTTGCTTTAGTAAGCTACACTTATTTCTTAAGCTAACAGTGAGAAAATCAGCCACTATGGCTAGTGAGAGGACTAACTGGAGCTGGAGTGCCCTCACTGGTCTGCACTCAAGGCATACCTTCCAACCCCTGAGTCAGCACAGCCGAGCTGACCAGGAAGGCCATTAGCATCCAGCCAAAGCTGGAAACATTCTTATCTTATAAGGCCAGGGAGAAGGCAAACGTGGGATGACATGGCCTCCTCTTCTGGTGGGAAGTGGAGTTTTCTGGAGCAGAGTGTGTGAACTTCAGTGGGTTTTGAGAGAAAGGGCTCCAAAAAATAGGGAAATGGGGGGTAATGGGAACTGAGGAGAGAGAGAGGATCCTTTAGAGAGAGAAAAACCAGTTGAGATGGCTTCTCTTAGAAGGTCTAAGTGTGTAAGGCGATTAACTAAGTCAGATAAAATTATCTCTACTCCTCCAAAATACATGGCTTTCCTGAGATCATTCTAGTGTGTATTTTTTTGGAAGAAACAGGAGAGAAAGGAAGTATTTAGGGGAGTAACTAGCGCTGACTCACCCTACTGGATTACTCTCAGCCAAACAACATGGGCTGCCTAGACTGGAGGGAAAAGAAGATGACCGAGAGAAATCTTGTCACAACTAGATCACAGAAATATAAGGCAAGATCTTCAATGAGAGTTTAAAAAGAGAAAAATATGAAAAGATTTTTGTGACAAATGGGAGAATGATACTTCAGTATACCATAGGTTGCTAGGAAGAATTGACAGCTCACTTAAGACAAAAAAACTTTGTGTTTGAGCCTTGGCTTTTTTAATAATATACTTAATGCCTTTGTACCTGAATTTCTCTTGATGGTAAAATAGGAATAGTAACACCTATGAAATAAGGCTTTAGAAAGGATTAAATGAGATTAAGTATGTAAAGCTCTTTATATGTATTAGATTCTTAATACATATTTGTTTCTTTTCTGTCTTCATAGCGTTCAGGATTCATAAGCTCTTTTATTTTTAGGTCAATACTCACCTGAGACATTTTTCCTGGGTACAGTGTTAACATTAGGCAGGATACGAAACAAATATAGAAAATCAGTAGTGTTTCTATATACTAAAAACTAATTATCTAAAAAAGAAAAAAAGAAAATGATCCTATTTACAATAACATTGTGAACAATAAATTACTTAGGAATAAATTTAACCGAAGAAGTGAAAGATCTCTACAATGAAAACTATAAAGCATTGATGAAAGAAATCAAAGATGACACAAAAATATGGAAAAGTATCCTGTATACATGGACTATAAGAATTAATATTGTTAAATGTCTATACTATCTAAAGCCATTTATAGATTCAATGCAATCCCTACCAAGATTCCAATGGCATTTTAACAGAAGCAGAAAAAATAACTTTAAAGTTATTTATAGGGAACCACAAAAAACCCCAAAGCAATCTTGAGAAAGAACAAAGCAGGAGATATCACACTTCCTGATTTCAAGCTATATTATAAATGTATAATAATCAAAACAATATGGTACTGGCATTAAAAAGGGACATATAGACCAAAGGAAGAGAATCAAGAACCCAGAAATAGATCCATGGATATGATCAATTAATATTTGACAAGAGAGCAGAGAATACTCAGTGGAGAAAAGATAGTCTTTTCAATAAATGGTTCTGGGAAAATTGGATATTCACATGTAAAAGAATGAAACTAGACCCCTATCTTACACTGTTCACAAAAATTGACTAGAAATAGATTAAAGACTTAAACGTAAGGCTGTAAACAATAAAACTCCTAGGAGAGAACATAGAGAAAAATCTTCTTGACATGAAAGTTGCCAATGATTTGTTGGATATGGCACCTAAAACACAAGCAACAAAATTAAAAATAAACAAGTGGGACTGTATCAAACTGAAAAGCTTTTACACATCAAAAGAAACACTCAACAAAGTGAAAAGGCAGCCTACAGAATAAGAGAAAAGATTTTTATATCAAATACCTGATAAGTGGTTAATATTCAAAATATATAAAGACCTTATACAACTTAATAGCAAAATAAAACCCAAATAGTCCAATTTAAAAATGTGCAAAGGACTTAAATAGAAAATAGCCATAAATGGCCAACAGGTACATGACAAGGTGCTCAACATCACTGATCATCAGAGAAATGAAAATCAAAACATAATGAATATCACCTTACATCTGTTAGAATGGATATCATAAAAAAGATAAGAGATATATGCTGGTGAAGGTGTGGAGCAAAGGAAACTCTTGTGCACTGTTGGTGAGACTGTATACTGGTAGAGCCACCATGAAAAACAGTATGGAGTTTCCTTAAAAAGTTAAATATAGAACTACTATATGATCCAGCAATTCCACTTCTGAGTATATATCTAAAAAAAACTAAATCACTATGTCAGAGATATCTGTAGACTCCTGTTCATAGCAGCATTATTTACAACAGTAAAAAACATGGAAACAATTTAAGGTTCATCAACAGATGAATGGATAAAGAAAATGTTGTGTACTATTACTCCATAAAAAGGAAGGAAATCCTGTCTATCAAGACAACATGGATGAACTTTGAGAAAATTATGCTAAGTGAAATAAGTCAGACAAAGAAAGACAAATGCTGTATGATGTTACTTATATCTGTGATCTAAAAAAAGAGAAAGAGATCAGATTTGTAGGTACCAGGGGTCCGGGATGGGGGGTAGATGAAGGTGGTCAAAAGGTGCAAACTTTATCATAAAACGTTTGAGTGTTATACCTTATGAATACATATGCTTTACACAGAGTTTGAAATGTTAGTTCTACAGTATTTTTTATAATAAAGAACCATATGATTCATATATTTGTTTCATTAGAGGCTTTGATAGCTATTTAAATGATCATAAGATAACTATTTTTAATAGTTTTTACATGTTATCTTTATGTTTTTAATATCATTGGTAAACTGATTATGAAAATGTAATTTGATGAAACTGCTTTTTTTGGAACAGAAAAAAATTAGGTTCTTGGATATTCAGTGCAGTTTTGTATTTATTTGTTTTCCAGGTTATTTGAAATTCCATCATGCTGCACCGGATTCTCATTTTTTAATGTAATCAGAATCACCTCAGAAGTATTTTAATAATTCAAGTTCTGAGGCCTTAACCCCACAGCAGCTGATTCTTTAGCTCTGAGTAAAATCAAAGAATATGCATTTTCACCAACGACCCAGGTAATATTAATGCAGGAGGTCCTTGATCCTCATTTTAAAAAATAGTTGGAGTCTAGAAAAAAATGCATTTCCTTTGGGAAAAATTATTTGTTTTTATCATGTAGAAAAATCTAAGGAAACTCATATTTATATATAGGTCACATTCAATTTACTTCCAGAAATCAAGAAAAAACTCTCCCTTAATTTGAATTTTTGTTCACTTTTGAGTGTTATAACTTATGAATACATATGCTTTATACAGAGTTTGAAATGTTAATTCTACAGTATTTTTTATGATAAAGATCCATATGATTCATATATTTGTTTCATTAGAGGCTTTGATAACTAAACGATCACTTAGTAGTACAATAACAATATTTTTACATTTTCCTTTGTCTATAAAAATATTTACTTTGAAGCCCCAGTATTATCAAACCTTTCCTATCTTAAGGATCTTTATAAGAAAAAGAAAAAATTTTCCAAAATTTCCTTGAAGATTTCCCCCAAGGATATTTACAAACTACATCTTGTCAAATCTTTTCCATTGCTCCTATAAGAAGTCATATTTCTTTACACACAGTAACAGAGAACATTACAAACACAAACTTGAAAGCTTATGTAGAATTCAAGCCAGATAAAACTTGGAAAACAACTATATGTCTTTCAGAGAATTGCCTTTCAGCAGCATTGAAAATGCATAGTTTGGATATAAAATAGCAGATAAATGTAATGCTTTCCAAGATGGAACATAAGGTCTTAGTTTATTTTAAGAGAAAGAAAAAATTGGAAAATATCCCAGAAATGTCATTGTGGGTACAGGTTGAACAACCCACTAGTATAAAAAGAATTTTTTTTTTTAAAAAAAAAGCAATCATATAACACATTTATTAAATTTAGGGAAGACAGTAGAATAAAAAGTGTTAGATTTCCTTAGGGAAAATATTTGAGTGAAACTAAGTTAGTTCTAAACTATAATTGAGTATTACAGTTTAGTAGAAGCTGTTTTGAATCATGGGACCAGAAGAGACCACAGACATTGATGTGGTTATTTTCCTACCTTCGATCAAGTCCTACCACAAACACACCTAAGATTAATAAATAATCTATTTCAGTTAAATTCCTGCAGAGGGAGAAATTTAATAAAGCTCTCATTTATCTGTTATAATCAATGCACAGGTTGAATACATTTCATTCCTTCTTTTATTCAGTCCAAAAATATTAAGACCCTACTGTGTGTTGGTTCACAAAATGGTCCCCATATAGAGAGGGCAAGGAGAGACCCAAGAAAGACCACTCCAGATTGGCAGGTGGCAGTTTTAATAAGTAAGGGAACTTAAGAGGCTTGTCTTGGATGGCTGCAAGGTGAGTAGATCTTTGCACATGCCTCCAGAATCTTAAAAGTTTATATAAAGGCCATTTTATTGGGGTTGTCACATTTACCATCCAGGTAGTCTTAACAATACATTGCTCTCAAGGCTGTGTCCTTCAAAACAGCACCCACTGTGGGAACGGTGGGGACAGCCTACATTCCAAGCACAAGGGAGAGGGTGAGGACTGTCCAATTGCTCAGGTGTAGCTCGCATGTCAACCAGTAGTCACAGCCTCTCAATTACTTCCTCCAACACTATGTACAAGATCCATCATTGCCAAAATCTCCAGACGAAAAGTGAGAAATTTAGCCAATTACTAATGCTTCTTACATACATAAAATCAAGTGTCAGATTTATTCTGATGAGGTAGGCACTATGCAATAGTGTGAACATTAAGCACTTGCCTGCACTATCCCTTCCCATTTCAATATTCACCCATGTCTACCCTCAAATCACAGTGTAAAGATCAATGGGAACTTAAAATTTTCAGATCCAGAATCTTTCAATACTTGCTTTATTTGCAGTCTCTGGACATTTAATTTGTTGATATTTAGTATGCCAATGCTATTCACAAATCTATTTGCATGTATTTATATTCCATCAGAAATCATATACATATTGTTAGAGGAGAGGAAAGCCGTCAAATTACTGGGGACCTGTCTATGGCCATGCTACCCTGAAGTGCCCAATCTCATCTGATCTCGGAAGCTAACCAGGGTCAGGCCTGGTTAGTACTTGGATGGGAATACCAGGTGTTGTAGTCATTAAAAAAAAATTACTGGGGACCTTCTCCCACACCTTATTCAAGTAAGAGAGAATAGACAAGAGATGGATTATGAAATAAATAATCACTATGCTTGCTAGAAGATCTGAATTTTTGGAGAGATAAGGCTTCAATGGAGAGAAAGGAAGAAGTGTGGGCCACTTTGCCCCTTTGGTTGGTGAGCTACCCTCTTATAAGGGAAATATTTGTCGTCTCTCTATGAGTATATTCTGATATTACAACTTCATGCATGATTGATGGGTATATGGAGTTCCTCCCCTGCTTATCAGCAGAATCCAGCCTCCTACATTTACCTCCAACTCTGCTTTCTTTAATATAATTCTAGAACGAAAAGGAGTAGGTACTCCAAATACATAATGAATTTATCTGGTCCAGTGCTCTCATTCTATCACATACTTTCAAATTATTTATCTTTATCATGTTTCCCAATGCCAAAATAATCCACTGTATATATTGAGAATCTTGTCTGAACTGTCTAAAGTAAAAAGTAGTTATTTGATCATCAACTGATAATATGTTATTAAGAAAATTTACTAACTTCACAAAAACCAGTGCAGCAAGTTCATCATGGGGCCTGACTAGATCCACGCAGTACCTTCATCTTTCTACATGCATCTTTCTTCTACTCCCAAGCTTCTCTGTGGATGTATTGATACTCATATTTTATACATATAAAGCCTTGAACATAATTCTCCATGGGGAAAAGTTGGCTGATAGGGAACAGAATTCAGTGAATCAATGTTTCTCCCTTTCTCCTTCCACCCACAAGCAGATGGTCCTGGGATACATTTTACAAGGTTTCTCAGTAGAATATCCAATTTCTCATTGTAATAATCAACTCATATTTTTTTATTGGTTCTCTTTTCTTCTATCCTGATCTCTAGTGTTATTACCCAATGAAGTACTTACACATAAGTTTTCAATGAAAGCTCTGCTCTCTAGGGAAACTCAGGTAAGATGGACAGTGATTTTTCATTTTCATGTGGTTTCCTAGAAATAATCATCTCAACCTGTGTTAATTACAAGTCAATTAGGAGAAGAGGATAATACCAAGAGCGATATATTTGAGATGGTTTTTCTCATCTAAAAATCCAGATATAAACATATAGATTGTACATATAGAACTATTGGCAGATGTTATTCAATATGATTGCATTACTTATTTTTTTAAATTTATTTATTTTCAATTACTTTCAATATTATTTCATATTAGTTTCAGGTATACAACAATAAATCATTTAAAAGCACATTATTTTTAAAGATGAAAGTTTAGTGAACTGAATATTTGGTGTTGATTATTACCTACCTTTACACACTAAATAATCATGAAAATCTTCCAAATATTTTTAACATCCCAAATTGAAATAAGTTTGTTGACATCTAAAGATTTCTACACTGTGCATAACTCCAAGTTAGCTATATGAAAGAAAAGAAAATAAATTATTTACAATTTTAAAATTGTAATATAATAACTTTGATGGAAGCAGACATCTTTTAGCAATTTTAATATTATTCCATGCATAAACATGCCAGCATTTCCATTGGACAGAGAAAAATTCTCTTTACTTCCAAAACCTTGAGTAAATTCAAAGCTGAGAGCTAATTGATTAGAAAAATGGCAGTCTGTAGCTTTTTCAGAAGATTCTGGAATGTAAGCTTCACTAATTGTAGTTTCCTTGGAAGCATAGAAGTCTATATTAAATCTTGTCACATTTTAATCTATATTTAATTATCATAAATCGGTCTTCAAATGCCTACTGATGAGAAAGAAAATCACACAGCATATGGTAACCAAGGAGCACAGAAAATGTTGCAAGGCATCTATTTCTTTGCTTGTGTGGTAATACTAATAAATATTCTCATGCCGTCTCCCAAAATAGATAAACTCACAATACAATAAAACCATACCTTCGATGTGGATCACTATAAGAGAACCTCCACTAATTGTTAAGGACCACAGGTTGCATGAAAGCTATTGTTTCTTCGGGTATCACATTCCAGCAGTAAAGTGATCCTCTCAGGATGTTTAAATTGCCGTGTGAGTCTCCTGAGACTACTACAGAGTGATGGCTCAGCTCTTCCTTACAAATTTGAAAGTCTGTGGTTGCTGTCATGCCAGATACATCAGTCATCATGCCTACCACTCCTTTCAAGGAAACTGCCTTTGCACAGTTCCTGCTAAAGAGACTAGCCACAGCTTTTCCTCCTGCAAGGAAACCATGTTCTTTACCACATAACCCACCTCCTCTACTTCCCTGGGAACACGAGAGATTGGAAAATGCGTGGGTATCAGACCCAAGGTCAGACCATCCTTCAGCTGTCCAATGGCTCATAAATGGGCATGTTGTGAAAAACTTACTGAGCGTATTAAAATCTCGCTCTGAGAATTGGAGGATACAATGACAATGTCAGCAGTGGAACCTGAAAGTAAAAGAATACTCAAATAGAAGGCATGAGGTGAAGGAGAGGACATGAGCAGCCAGATTATGAAGAAGGAATTTGGAGAATTTTAAGGAGAAGAACCATAGTAAAGGCAAAAGTTTTCAGGTTAGATCAGTAAGCAACAGAGAAGGCTCAGTGTTACTGGCCAGGTAGCAATGGAGCAAAAGCTTCCACTTATAAAGAAAGCCTTACCTTATCAAAATTGTATTTCTTACACTGAGGCTCTATTCTTGTTACAAATATCCTTAAAATAACACCTTACTTGAACTAAATAGAGTGATTTAGGACTGGAAATGATTATCATTTTCACTGCATTTTAAAGTACAGCACTACAAAGTTGACTAAACTATACCACAGTCTCACAGTTAACTAAATTCTCTTTAAACTCATTTTGCTTACAGGATCTCCAACGTACCTTTATAATAAATTTCAATATTTACCACTAGTTTTCTGGCTAAAATGCAAACTCCAACCAAGTGGAAAAAACAAAGGTAAGCAAGAAATTTGAGAAGTTAGTGTAATATTCATCATTCATACATGACTTGGATCTTTATCTTGGCAGACAGACGATCATAAGGAGAAGCAGATAATGGAAAACAGAGTACGCACCCCTTAATTTTGTTGAGTAACTTGCCAATTACAAAGACAGACAGAGAGAGACAGAGAGAGAGAGAGAAATACTCAGGTCTTATTTTTAAACTCACTAAATATTTCCCATTTCTCACATCTGAACCACTCCTGAGTTTAATGTAACAATGCCAAATAGAAAAACCAAGAAGAAGAAAAACTCAGAATTTTTAATGCGTAGTTGCCCTTACAGAAAAAATTGAACAAAAAAATTCCTCACAAGTTATACTGAATTCCCTAGGGAAGTTATTTATACTCGTGTCCAGAATCTCATATTTAACTTTTACAGTTTGAAGGAAAAAAATGCCATCAGAGTTTTTACAAAGAACTTTTGTTTTTTATGCTTCAAATATCAGAGAGTCAATGACATTGTGTGAAAACAAAACAGATTCTTTTTATGAGATACACATAATGCTCACTTTTACTTGTTATTTGTAAGTCTGCATTACCTACATATTTTAAATTGTTTAAAACCTTCTTTTGATTTTATGGTCTTTATAATCATTCACAAAATTATTAATTGGTTGTAGATTACAAATGAAATTTTATACAGAAGTCTGTTTCTTTCCCCCTTCTTGAAATAAAAGCTTAAAGAATTCTCCATGATTCTATTAACTCACATTCTCCTAAGCAATGGTTACAATTTAAAAAGCATTTGTAACTATAAAACCATAACAAATCAAACTAAAACAGTAACAGGATACTGTAATCTAAAAATGAGTTTGTTTTCTGTCACTCATATTTTATATTCTTGACATCTAGATTTTTCTTAAGTAAATTCAGCACAATCAAAGCTTTCCTTTAAAATGTCACTTTTTCTGCAAAAATATAAAAAAATCTATAGCAGTATTAAAATTATTTTTATCAGTACCGGTTGTGAATAATTGTATCTCAAGAGGAATTTATGTTTGCTATTAAATTTTCATGCAAGCCCCATATGATTCACAATGACCCAGCTATGCAACGATGTCAAAAATTAGAGTCTTTGAACAAGCATGCTTGAGAACAAAAGTAGGTAGCAGATTAGATCAAAAATCTCTATTAACCATAATGAAGTGGCCAAGCTCATAAAGACATTGTCTTTTTTGTCTGACTGCAGACCCATCATGATTTACACCCAAAAGTCCTGAAGATTTGCTCCAGAGATGTTCTTAGTAGTGCAAAAAATTACTTGATAAAATTCAGCATAAATGTATTATTACAAAACACAGTCCCAAGTATTAGGAATAAAATAAAACTTCCTAAACATAATAAAACAATTACACATTAGACTTACTATAGAAAATTTTAAATGTAATGTAGGCCCTTCAAATTCCAGAAAAAGGCAGAAATACTCACTATTACAGCTATTACTCAATAAAGTATAGGACACTCAGCTAAATAAATAAACTGGTTAGTTTATTAAAATAAAATACAAACAAAAATTTAAAAGAAAAAATAAATTTGTATTAGACGACAACTAATTGAAAGAAAATCATCAAGTAAACTATTAAAAAGGGAGTAAAATGAGTTCACTTTCAACTTAATAAACATTATAGGATATCTAGGCATTAAATTAGCAAAAATATTTCTGAAACATTTATAGAGAAATTTTCAAAACTATATTAAAAGACACTAATAAAAGACCTGAAGAGACAGAGTAAGATAGCGTGCTTGTGGATAAGATGACAAAACATTTTAAAGTTGCCAATTTTCCCCAAAGTAATGTATATATTCAATAAAATTTATATTAAAATCTCAGAAAAAATAATTTTGGAATATGATAGTGATTCCTAAATTTACATAAAAGAAAAAAGATCTGTGAATAGCTATAAAATTTTTTAAAAGAACAAATCTGGAGAATTTACTTTTCCAGATCTTAAGACATACTTTAAAACTATAAAATTAGAATGATATTGATTCAGGAACAGATAAGAAGAGTAATGAAATACAACAGAGAGCCCAAAACACTCAGTATAAATGTGAAGTTAGCATATGAAAGTAATGGAATCACAAATCAGGGTGAAATGAAGTAATAATTTAGTAGATAGTATTGAGAAAGTTAGCTTTTTATGTAGAGAAAAATTAACTTGGATATCTTCCTATATCATATATGTAGATAAACTCCAGATTGATAAAATACATAAATTTGAAAGTAAATATAAAGAGCTAAATAGAGATAGAGTAGGATTTTTTTAAAGAAGGCCTCTTCTGCACAAATCACAAGGAAAAATAATGGAGATATATATATATATATCATACTAAAAAATATTAAAGACTCTTTTCAACAAGACACCACTGTCAAAGTTAGCAGAATGGTTCCAGACTAGAAGAAAATATTTGAAATACCAAAATCTGACAGATGATAATTGCTATAGTATACAATGAAGTACTATAATTCATTTTTATAACAGGAAACAATAGAAAAATGGTCTAAGAGTATGGATAGGAAATTCACTAATAGGGAAGCCCAAATGACTGATAAAAATATGAAAAGATGTTCAACCTTCTTAAGGATCACAGAGAGAGCAAATAAGGACTACTTTGAAATACTACTATATAGTCATCAGAATGGGAAGAAAATGTTAACACCCATTGCTAGTGGAAATGTAAAATGGGGCAGACATTCTGGAAAGGGAAAAAGATAATTCAATGTAGTAGAGGAAAATGATGGTATGGAACAGTCATAAATAATAAGCCACATATACATGTAACAACATAGACATATATAAAAGAATACAGTAGTATACAAGAAAGTAAGGTACAGAATAACATTTATAACCATATGATTTATGTAAATAAAAAACACAAAACAATAGCACTACATATTTCTTAAGATAGACACATATCTAAGTAAACACATGGATAGCATATTAGGAAGTTGGGGAGAAATAAGAGTATGGTGAGTGAGGAAAAAATAAACAAACGAAGGGTCTAATGATGAAAGCATGCTCTGCACCTGAGATACATATAACAGTGGTGCCACAGGGACTCGATAAGAAGAGGTTTTCAAGAATAAGTTGCAAAGAGTTCAGCTAAGAAAGAGTCAAAAAAAGAATAAAAGAGAAAACTATGTCTCCTTTACTACAAATGGTGAAAACTATTTCAATTGTCTTCTTTGATTTCTTTGTATTCCTTAACCTGTAGTATTAGGTTCAGTGTCTTTTTATAAGTATTTGGCAACTAAGAAAATTATCTTGTTGCTTTTTCTAATTGTTTCCCAATTTCTGCTTTTATTTTACCAGTAGTCTCGTGCCATCTCTTAAGTTCCATGTACAACCTACTATGGCCAACTGATCCTTTTTTAAACTCATTGCCATCACTTGTGTGATATAATTGACTCATCATTTTAATTAATTAGCTCATTTTTATGATAGGCATGCCCCGTAAACTCGCCTTAGTGAAAAGATACTTCTGTAACCTATTCCTATCTTCTCTGTTTTATTTAAGTCACTTGATCATTCATTGTGAATAAGATTCTGTGTCAGATGCTCCAAATGTATTATTATGGTCTAAACTAACTCCTTCCCAGCAAGAAGGCTGTAAAGGTAGACTTTGCTCAAGAAGAAAAAACAATATTAATGAGAATCTAGCCATTCTCTACCACAGCTTGAACATCTTGTCCTTAAACATCATTTTCACTCTTTCTCACACATATAGAACATACTCTCCTTCTAGGAGTGGCAGCCCAAAGTCCCATCCAGTGACTGCTTACAGCTCAAGTCCAGGATCATTGAGTGAGACGTAGTATTCTCCATTAGGTCTAGATGTGGCTCCTCAGGGCCCAGCATCCTATTAAACTAGAAAGATATGTCTTCTTACATCCCTTATACAGTGGTTGAACAGGAACAGGAAAGCTACAATAAACGCTCCCATTAGGAAAGGGGAAGAAATGCAGAAACGCAGCAGATGTAGGTCTATAGCAATCCTGAAAATCCTGTTAGGTCATTGTAAGAATCCACCCTCCACCCCCACCTCACCTCTTGGGGGTAGGTC